CGTTAACGTAAACTTAATGGCCTTAGCCTTCTTGGTGATTTATGCTCGTACCTCACTCCCTTGCGCCCAACTAATAAAGCTGGGTGGGCATGATGCCCGGGGGATTTGACCGTCCCCCATGCCCAGGAGAGAGAGAGAGAGAGAGAGAGAGAGAGAGAGAAGGCGAGCAACGCCAACGAGCTGAGCGGCACATGGGCCCGGGGGACATCCCGCCCCCCTCTACGGACGACGAGTACAGCAGCGACAGCTCCAGCAGTGAGGAAGACCACCCATGGAATGAGCGCACCCCGAACACTGACACACAGGCAGGGGGACACAGTGGCGAAAAGGCGGCCAACAAGGCCAAGGAGGACTGGAAAGACCTCCTCAACAGACACCTCCTACCTCGTGACAACGCTGGCCCATCGGCGACCCCCCCCCTGCAGCCTTCGACGTCTTCCGCACAGCCAACCACACCAATCACCACCTCAGATGGACAAGACCCCTCCCAGGTTGAGGCAGCCACTCTCACTTCGGCAGACGACCCCCAGCACCCCAGCGAAGCAGCACAAGGACAAGACCACCAGCCGGACGCGCCAACAGCCGCGGGGGACGAGTTCCGATGGCCTCCCGAGCTACCCACCACGGCCAACAGCCAATACCAGGTTTACCCCCTCACCAACGACTGCTGGGAAATTGCGGTACAGTACCATCCCGACTTCGTGCCGCCTTTGGGTGGGACGTCCCCGCCAACTGCCCCTTACTCCCTGCACGTCATTGTAGCAGGAGACCGTGGCCCACTTGACACGGCACCTGGCTTCAGTGCTGGAACGAGGCTCAGGCTATGTCCTATCGACGGGACCAAGCTGTGGTATGTCTTCGTCATGTATGACCGAACCATCGTGCTTCCTCCTCACAACGGGGGACAAGCTTGCCATACAGCCGGGCAGAGCAGGGAGATGGGAAATTGAGCTGTCCCAAGAGAGCGCGACCCCACCCGATGATGTGGCAGAGGCTAGGACGAGAGTCCACCACAAGCGCAAAACTCAGTACATGCCCAAACGCGCGGCAGCTGCCTCCCCCTCGAAAGCAAGCTCCTCCACAGACCCCGCTCCCTTGCCACGACAACAGCGAACCCCTGACCAACCGACAGCACTCCACAGCAGCACAGCGGCTTCCTCCACGGATCCCCCCCAGACCAGCACACAGGGGGAAATGCAGAGCTTTTACGGACCGCCCCGGCCGAAGCCCCAACAACACCAGCAACGAGAGGCAGAACATGATGCCCAGTCAGCACAACACACGCTGCAAGACGGAAGAGAGCTCCGGAGGGGACAACAGCATAAAAAACAAGCTGCAGCCCCCGCCACCCCCCTCTACCCCAGAGTACGGGACGGCCGCAACCTTGGGGGACGACCAGCGCCATCCCCAGCCCCACTGGTGCAAACCGTCCACCCCTACCTCCGACCTACTAAACCACAACCCCCTCAGACTAACCACGCCCATGCCCCGACGACAGAGCAACAACTAGCCTCCGTGGTTGCTGACACACCAACTGCAGCCCTGCCACCAAGTACACCAGCCACCCTACCTGCCACCAACAACACCACTGTGCCGCTCCCAGGATTTGGTGGGGAAGACATCGCAGGGGCGGCTCCCGAACCCCCCCCGGGGACCTCCTCTCCTGAGCCTAAACCGCAGTGGCAGAAGTTGGAATGCCACCTGCTCGCCATCCGCAGATTGGCTGAACACCTCCCAGCAGGGGGGACCACAATCGTTCATGTGGTGGACAGCGCTCTGGCAGACTTACTCATGGATAGCGAAGCAGAAAGACACCTAGAACAGAACCTCGGGGCGCTTTTAGGACAAAGCCATGGCTCCGGGGGAAACCGACCCCGACGCAGACGCTGGACGACCCAGGAGGCCATCATGCACCTGTCCGACGTCGCAAGGGCCCAGTTGTCGTCGCGGGGAAGGCCAGAGCAAATCCTATCGCTGTTGCCTTGCGTCGATGCCATCATAGCCTGGCTGCAACGCATCACTGGGGAAACGCTCGCGGACAGGAATATGCCGGAGCTCATGGCAATGCTACGAGAAGCCCTCCAAGCCATCACCACGGGGGAGGCCACCCTAGAACACTGGCGAACAGTCCTCGGGGTCGGAGACAGCCTCCGATCCCTCTTCGAGATGACGCACGGCTGGGAACGCCCCCTCAACGACTACGTCACTGCAGAGCAAAGCCAGGGGGACAACAGTAACAGCGAGCTGCAACCGGGGGACTACGCCATGATCCTTGAGAACCTGGCGGCGTCACTTCTGCACTGGTCTGCAGGGGAACAGATCGAGATGCAGGCCAACCTCTTGAACCTCCTCCACACTGTCTCCGCAGTTGTCGCCCAAGGAGATACACAGATGAGGAGCGGGGAACAACAGCCCGGCGAACGAGGGGATCGGCGGAGTGCGATGGCTGCGTCCTCGTCGTCAGAGCACAACAAAGACTGGTGGCTTCATGACTGCCACCACGGACTGGGGGATGTTGCCCGAAGTCCCTACTCAGCCGAACCCAGCCTGGCTGAAAGCCGTGCGGGGGACGATATACAGATGCACACCGACACGGAGGAGAACCCGTCACAAGAGGAGGAGAATGACTCCGACGCTTCCCACCGCCGGCGACGCGCCTTGGGGGAGCACAGCAAGGACTACTTCTGAGAGACAGTGACCCGCCTAGTGAGCTCCAGTGATCGTGTGGCCACTCCGCGGGGGACCCTGTTTTCGTGAGTTTACGTTGGTTTGCTTGAGTAGCGCTAGGTCTTCTGCTTTTCCGACGGGGGAACCACACAATCCAAAGGAGCAGGGCCCTTCGCTGCCTCCAGTCCCCTAGGTACTAACTCTTGGTCACCGGTTTCAGAGTTCTGTTCAGGTTGCTTCGGTTGTTCGGGCTGCTTGGTTGCTTCGGGATCCTTGTGTCACGGGGAAGGGAGAGTCCACAATAGTCTGCCACGACAGGGGGAAATCACCTGTCAAGGTTCCTGGAGATCCCCCTCTGCTTGCGAGGACCAAGGCAGACATGGTCCATTTTTGGCTCAGTAGTCTTGCCCTGAAAGTGCCATGGCCCTCAATGGCGTAGGGGGGAAAGAGTTTCACACTTGTGCTCCAGCTAATGATCAGAGAGGAACATCGTTTTAGTCTTTTCCATTTGTCTTCGCTTCTTGTAGGAGTTTAGCCTACATCATCCACCACCCATGCAGGGGGAAATGACCCATGCATAGCACTTTCTGGAGCAGCTGCAGCTACGGGGGAGCCGAGTTCATACTGACGCTGTCATGTTTGCGTAGCACCTTTCTGTGGCAAGAGAGACTCCCCCTCATGCGCATACTTTTGCCAATGTCATACGCAAGTACCTGCTGCAGGGGGACATGGTCAGGCCGGAGGTTTACCGTGTTAGTTACCTGTTGGCAATTGTTTTCGCTTGGATGAACTTGAGGCCATGACCATCATAGTACATGTAGGGGGAAAACGACCCCACATGTTACCTCTTGAGGCAGCTGTACATCGGGGGAAGCTCGGCAGAAGTTTTAATCGTATTATGACTTTCTATCTTGTTCCGGTGACCTATTGTTTTTTCCTGTGACCGAGCATCCGTAGCTTCTTCTTCTACCCCTACAAAGCCCCACAACAGGGGTGCGCCTCACGGCGCGGGGTGCCTGACCAGCACCCTACGCCCCGGAGAATAGAATAGAATAGAGAGAGAGTAGGGTGAGGGGGGCTTGCTCTCCCTTGCCCCTAGCCCTGCTGAAAGAAAGAGAGAGTAGTAATACATACATAGGTCCGTGAAGCTTTCACCTCCCCAGCCTACGTGCCCCACGAACATACGGGTCCCAAGTGGCCAGGGAGCCTAACCAGCTCCCTATGCCCGGTGGAAGAAGTAGTACATACATAGCATATGGATACCCAAAACGAAACTTGATTCCTTGTTCCCTTCGCACCTCATCAAGCCGAGGATTGGGAGGCATATCTCACCAACACGCCGGGGCTTCAGTTTCGTCCTGGCAAGTCTGGGTTCAGGGTCGGATCAGGGGTATGCGAGCCATGTCTGAAGAAGGTCGGATCCGAAATGTCGCATGTACGGTAACGGCATGGTGCTGGGCTGTGGCGGCACGGGCCTGGAGACTTGGCAACGATTGATTTGGAGTGCTTTGTTTGTCATCCTCGCAGCGCGAGGAAAATGTTGGTGGTGCAGCCTTTGCCACGGAGCTACTTGTGCAGATGCCTGAAGGCGTGCTTCAGGTGCCTTGGAAAGAATAGGGCTGCCAGTTGGAAGGCTCACTTCACGTTTCAGATGCAGTCAGCTTTGCACTTCGGCTTTACTGCACTTGTCGTCCTGTAAGAGGAGTGCTCCTTGCCCATGCGCAGACCAGAGAGTTGAGGGATGCCCCACACGGCCACGGCTGAGGAAGGAAGGCATTTCATTCCAGCTCTAGCGGTAGCTTTGCCCCTAACGAGGCCGCATTCATGTGTTGCCTCTACCAGATTCGAAGACTCCTTGCAGAAACCAGGCATCAGAAAGGGCTGAATCCTCAAATGCGGATCTTTTTTGGGAGGTTTTCCCGTCCTTGCCACTTGGCATGGCGGCTTCTTTCCACCTCCGCGCTCCGGGGCCTGTAATGATACGGGCAAGTCGGACGGCTTCGGGATTCGTGACCGCGGCATGGCAGGAATCCTACTGTGCTGTTGTGCAACGCAGCGAGGAAGCTTTTTCCTTTCAGTCACATAGCAAGCTCCAGCCCTCTCCCACGCTTTCAGCATCCAAGGAGTTCAAGATGCATCTTCCTATGCTCGAAGCAGAGCTAGATATGGGTCCTACGGTGGTGCGAACGGCATCTTGTCTAGAATGACATAGTGCACCGGTATCTAGGCCTACAGACAGCCGCACAGATGTTGTACTCCAAGCTGTCAAAATCTGGAAAGCTGAGCCTGAGGACTTCCTGGTGCAATCGCCATGGCCAGATTCAGACATTCTGGTGGATGGTCAGGTTGCGCAAGTCCGCGGCGGGATCTTCCACGTTGGACTTAGTGAAGGGCGACTCCACGAGATCACCCCGACGGAAAATCTCAGAGCCGGATCTTTTGGCAAGACAGCAAGGTCAAGCTCAGCTTTGCCGTCGTCTTTCTCTTTTCATTGCCTGCAGTCGCAAGTACCAGTAGCGTGTGTAGATTGCTGTTCGCCGATGAACCAACTCCTCCCCACAAGCAGACGTTCTGCGGCACCAGGTGTTCAATCGAAAGCAGCTTGCCCCTGTCCTGTTTGCTTCGGCACCGAGTGGCTCAAGAGGGGATCTGGGGGATGTAGCTGTTAGTTCAAGGCTGGTCGGAGACCGCACTCGGAGAGGCAGGTGCTGACTTGTCAACAGACCAGACTCGACTGTACTTGGCAGCCTCGCATGTCCGATGTTGCGATGTAAGACGATCTTGGCTTGTCCGCGTTCTGTTCTTCAAGACGCCTGGGCTGCGCAGCCTTTCTGGCTTTGTTAAGTTTGAAATCAGCCTATTGCTGACTGGCGGCTCTTGTACAGCGCGCGGCAGTTCCGTGCGGCTGAATCCGGAGTGAGGTTCGTTCCTATCAGAAGCGCTCTGTGTTCCTAGAAGACGGATTTGATCGGAGAAGCTGAAGCTTGCATGACGACTTGATTTGCAGCTTCTCGAACCGGCTCTGGATTCGGATTGGTCTTGCGATGCTACCAGCAAGTGCGGCCTCCAAGACCCGCCGGGATTCTGCTGCGCCAGACCAGATCAGCTCGCTTCTCGGCATGCAGCTCATTAACGGCTTCTTGGAGCAGCAGCATCTGGAGCATGCCGGAAGTGTGCCACTTTCATGTCGCTACTTCAAGGGCCTTGAAAGTTTTCCCGGCTGATGAGAAGCCTCATTCACCGGCTTCTTGTCCGAACAGATTCAGAAAGCCATGCCGAGTCCATCTGCCCTTAAGACACAAGTTGAATCGTGTTGATGGGCAGATGGAGCTTCTGGAGTCAGACAGCGTGACGGAGTCAAAGCATCTGGGCCCGATGAGCCCGGTGTCCGTCAGCACGGAAGCTGCTTGCCATCGTAAGCATTCGGATCAGCGGCGGCTGCCCTTGCAGCGCCGGAGCCCAGGCTGTGTCACCGGATGCACCGAGCTCCGCTGATGCCACCGACAGGCATCGACGCAGCGTAGCTGAGTGTAGCTGGTAGCTGAGATTCAGAGATCTTGCCCTTCGAGTTGTGAGAAGTCTTACAGGTCTTGCAGGAGCTGCTGCTCTCCCTCGCGGCTTCCAGTTCCCTGGCTGGATGCCGAGGCTGCTAACCGTTCGATGCAACGCAGGGCGGGCAGTCTGGCGTTGTGTGATTGCAAGACGCAGGTGCTCGAGAGTGCTGCGTCATTTGCCCATTTACCTGTTCCTCGAGAGAGGAGCGGCACCGCAGGCGGCTTGCAAGTGTGGGAGGATTCAAGCCAAGTGACGTCGCACGCCGGACTGCCTTCAGGCGTTGATTCCCCTCTTGGCCCGCTTCCGACGGTGCTGGGGGGTGCTGTTCGCGAGACCTCGAAATCATCTAGCAAGAGTGTGGTGGCACCCTCATTCCGTGCTGGTGAATTGCGCATCAAGTTTGCAGGTTGCATCGTGTTTCACCCAGGCAATGCCGTACAATTTCGCACCAAGCCACGGTCTCTGACAGACTTGCTTGCAGCATGCCGACGAGATGGCTTGCATGTTATCTGCATCATCTAAGGCTCACCACATTCCATCCTATCAGTGCCGGCTTCGTCCTACATGGCTCGGGCATGGCGAAGAGAACAAGGTACAGAGATGGTTGCATTCTGTCATTTGGTTCTCGTGTCAGGATTGCATGCTGACATGGGTTTTTGTAAGCATCTTTGCACCAGCAACAACCTCAACACTTCCACTGGAGCTATGCCAGCTATGCTTCTGAGTCGTGGAAAGAAAGAATTACGGGGCTCCGTTCAGAGCTTACATGATCTTTTGCCGGCATCTCGTAAAGGTGAAACGCTTTGTTGCATGAGCTGTGCAGGCGGTGGTTGTGAGGCCGGCGGCCCAGCAACCGATCTTGAGAGTCTGGAATATATATATATATATATATATACACACACCAGAAATCATGTGTACGTATATGTATATATGTACAGATATATACATATGTACGTCTTATGCTCGTGTATGTATACGATGTATATGATGCCGGGGGCGCGAGCGGCCCAATTGCAGTGGAGGCGGTGGGTAGACCAGCCTGTTTTGCAGCACGGAGCGTTGGCACAATATCGCTCAGAAATTGAAGCCGCGCCTTCCCTAGGGCCTAGGGTCTTGTCTTGAATGTCAGCCTCATCTTGTTTGCGCTCCGCAAGCACATGTTGGCGGGCTTGAGGTGGCCCCATCACCATCCCTTTCCACAGGCGTAGTGCGCGTCACCGTGGTACCGGTGGTGCAGAGCAGCCATGCTTATGTGGCAATCCACGCTGGAGTCTGATACATGGGCTTCTGGTTTGCCCCCTCTTTGGCGAGCAACGTCAGAGTTGGATGCTTCATGTGCAACGCTGTCGAGTTGATGTGGAGCAGCTCTCCAACGACGAATTCCTGCGCCTGATTTTTTTTAAATGCCATGTACGGTTCGTAGCTTCTGTATGCACCATGCTGCGATGGCCTGCTGTGAGTTGCCAAGCCTAATGCTGCGTTGACGACATTTGATATGACCATGCGTGCGATGCGCTTTCTTTTCACTGCTGACCTCAGACGATTGTTTCAGGTCCCAGCCTCTCAAAACGCATGTGTGTGTATGTAATGTAAGTATCCATGTAAGTATGTAGGCCAAAAAGTATGTAAGTATGTATGTAAGTAAGTAAGTATGTATGTATGTATATATTTATATATATATATATATGTATACAATATGATGTGATATGTTTTACCTCGCAGCTTCGGCAGGGCGAGCGGAATGAATGTACACACATCATCTGTACATTGTACACTATGTTGTACATGATGCTATATACATACACGTACATGCATACATTACATTACATTACATAACATAACATAACATTACATTACATTACATTACATTACAGTACAGTACAGTACAGTACAGTACAGTACAGTACATTACATTACATTACATTACATTACATTACATTACATTACATTACATTACATTACGTTACGATACGTTACGTTACGTTACGTTACGTTACGTTACATTACGTTACATTACGTTACATTACATTACATTACATTACATTACATTACATTACATTACATTACATTACATTACATTACATTACATTACATTACATTACGTTGCATTACATTACGTTACATTACAGTACATTACATGCA